GTAGGGAAGAGGATAAGGCCCAGGGGCAGAGCCAGAGGCTAACACGAAGTTGAAACCGTGGTAGTGAATACAGATGAAACTCCTTAAAATTCCTCTTCCTCGCGTGGCTGATTGTGGAGACCAGCAAGGGAGACCTGAGGATGGCAGCTACTGGCCCCCGAGGTAAATGGAGGAAGCCTTCGGGGGCTAGGATCCAGGCCCAGAGCGCTTAGAAATTAATAAATAAATTAGTAATTTAATTTTTGAGTTTCCTAAGCCTCAAAATATTTGTTTACAACAAAACCTCAATAATCAGAATCCAAACATCCTCAAATATCCATACTAAGATTCAGGCTCTGTCTTGGGGTCCATTCAAATTCAGCCCAGTTGCCATCATTTTTGGTGGTTTACACACCCGTTCCCATGCATGGGCCCTGGTTTTCAGATTCTGAGACTCTCACAACCGTAACCAAAGAAAGATCAGACCATAGTCACCGTATTCCAATTACTAAGGAGAGAAATTGGACTCCTGCCTCTTGGAATGATTTTCAGGAACTGAAGGTTAAAGAAGGCAGAGTTTCTGGGTAACTGTCGGGCAGCTTGAAAGGAAAACTTACCCTAGGACACTGCTTCCTCCTCCCAGTCTCTGAGCGTTCTGACTCATGGTATTCTAAGGAGTTTCAGCTCTATTCGCTACCACCATTACCATTCATTCAGGATCTCAAAACTTCAGTTCCTCCATCACAGTCGCCACATTTCAGGGACTCAGCAGTTTGGGCTAAAGGCTACTATTCTGGACAGCACAGATCAGAACATTTCCATCATCACAGAAAGTTCTGTTGGACAGCGCTGCCCCAGAGCAGAACTGAGTACCTGCCAATTGGTCCTGATTGTTGCAAGTGACTCTCACAGCTGTCCGTCAATAGCCCAGGCTGCCTGGCGGGATGTCATCTCTGAGGCTCATCAGGCTGAAGGCACAAGCAGGGCTCCAATGGCCCAGGGCAGTCCTGAAGAGGGTCACAGATGTTAGGACAGACTGGCTAGTCTTACTTCATCCCTTCAAGCTAGTAGGTAATTTGCTGCCTGGTCCTGAGCAGCAGCCTGGAAAAGAAAGAGCTGGAGTTTCCATCTGTTTTCCTCCCATCAGGATGATGCTTAACCCTAGGCTGACCACTCCACCTCCATCTTTCAGCGAGCTCATCTGTCAAACGCGCTCCGTGAATGCCCAGGGAGAGATACACATTTGTGGAAAGGGGTTGTTTAACCGACCTTTTGGCCTATGCATCAGCCACCCTAGTTTGCCTATGCATTGGTCATGGTCCGTTTCCTTCCACATCTCTGGGACTGTGCCTAGGAAAAGACTTTGGAACACAAACAAGCAACTAAGAAAAGGACCCCTCCCTTCCCTGAGTAGTCATGCTGGGAAGATGTACCCTCTTGTAGCTTCGGGCTGGGCATTGAATGAGATGCCATGGAGCAGGGTTCGCCCCAGCTGGAGATTGAAACTATCCTATCCTTGCAGATAAGCCAGCTCTTTAAGGGAGGAGCTGGGCTGAAGCTATTCCTTTCTGCCAGAAGTGGTCAAAATCAGAGGAAAACTCTGGATCCTTCCATTTCTGGGGTCACCCCAATCCTTCCATTGGCTGCTTCCCTAGCCATGTATTTAAGTTTATCAAGTGACTCTTTCCTTTACTTACCATGTGTTCTGTACAGTCACATGTGAAACTGTGTCCTTTATATTTGAGCTGTTGGGCACACAGCCTAACTAGTGGCATTACTTGTCTTTGAGTGCATATCCAGGCCACGAGAGTACCACTGGCAAATAAAGTTAAGTCCTCACTAATGTAGTCAGTGGTTCTTAGAAATTGTGACTTAAATCAATTTTACCATAGGTTAATTGATTTAAACAAGAGTTAAGTTCCTATAGCATATTTCTGTATTAGGCTATGGGAAAAATTGGTTCTCGTTATTACATCGTTTTATTTAAAGTTACAGTGTCCCAGAACTTATTGACAGTGTTAAGTGAGAACTTACTATAGACCATGTGGTAAAGAAACAGTGGCTGACCTTTGCAAAGGGAGATTAGGTCAAGGCCAAGTAATTTACATAGGTTCTATCTGAGTTTGCAAAATGTACCCAAATGAAGAATGATCTGGCTGTTTATTAAAGATTCCTGTCTTGGGGACCCTTCCCTGGAGATTCTGGCTCAGCATGTCAGGTTGGGAGTCAGGAATCCGTTTTTAACAAGCATTGGGCAAATATAGTCCTCAGGGTTCCCACATCTAACCCTCACAAGCCTTTGAGGTTTAGGTTTTGTTCCTATTCCACAGACAAGCAAACCAAGGAACAAAGAGGGGAAGTAACTTACACACAGTCATACAGCCAGGAAGAGACCTGAGATTCTGAGTTCACCTTCTTAACCACTGATCCTGGGCAGCTGCTTAACCACACAGAACCATGGGTTTCTTATTTGTAAAGTGGAGCTCATGATACCCCTTTCACAGAGTCATGCTCTTATTCCCTGGAGTTTTAGTGGCTCCTTGAATATCCTGAGTGTATCACAGAAATATTGCCTTAGCTCTCCTGACATCTTAAATCATCACATCTATTGCAGAGTGATTACGAAATTAAAATATGGTGCCTGCATTAGTCAGCTCAGGCTGCCCCAACAAATCCCATCGATTGTGTGGCTTAAGCAACAGATAATTATTTGCTCACAATTCTGGAAGCTGGAAGTCAAGGGCTAGGTGCCAGCACAGTTGGTTTCCGGTGAGACCTCTCATCTTGGATCGTAAAGATGGTGGGCTTCTACTTGAGTGTTCACACGGCCGAGCACATTCGGGGAGAGGTCTCACTGGTGTCTCTTCTTATAAGGATACAAATTCTACTGGATCAGGGCTCCTCCCTCATGATTGGCCCTATCTCTAAATATAGTTTCAATGAGGTTTAAAGCTCCAACATAGGATTGACAGGGTGGTGATGGGTAGAATTCAATCCATAGCAATGACGTAAGCACAGCCTTATTGAGCATAATGCCTGGCACACAGCAGGACTGAGCACTGGGTCAGTCCCTTGCCTTTGCCTCAGCAGTGCTGGGAAGCATCGTTCCGAATGCTAGAGACAGTCTTTTCCCTTGCCCAGGAAGAACTGGCTGGGACTATGGCCAGTAAGAAACAGGTTGCTTCTAAAATTGAGTTACTCCCTCAGACAGTTCAGAGTTGATCTGTATATTTGTTTAGGTTTGTTTGGGTTTTTTTTAGGTCCAGGCACATCTAATTTATATTTTTCAGGAAGATGAAAATTTGATTGTATTTCAGAGCAGTGGCCCCAGACATGCTCACATGCTCTTGGCATTGACCACCATGCATAGACATTGACAAGCAGACGCCTCTCCCACTGGCAAACTTCAACAGTGTGCCTCTGTGTGTTATCAGTGCACTTTATAGGAGTGCACTCAGGAAGTTTGCAAAGATGGTGTAATTTTAGCTGTTCTCATCCCTCAGCTTTTTATGAGTCCTTGGGAAAACATTTTTTGCTTAGCCAAAGCTTATTTGATGTTGCTGAACATTAAAAAACAAAACAAAAAACTCTTGCCCATATGGAGTAAGTGTGCTGGTTTTTTGTCACTGTTGTCATAATTGGCACGTGAGATGGGTCTACAGAGAGCGAAGATTAAGGTCACAGTATTTCTGGAATTCTAGAGGAGGTCTAGCCCAGAAATTCTGCACATCCAGTTTATGGGCGAAAGGTTCAGAAGTACAAAGCTTGTAAAAAGAGTGGGGTTTGTCTGAGCCCAGTTCTCTGACCGTTGACCTGAGAAGGG